AAAAAAAAAAAAAAAGAAGAAGAATGAAATGAGAGAAAATGCCTGGCCTGGCACCTGTGCATAGCAGATGTTCAATACACGGGGATCACTCTGCTCCCTCCCACCCTCCCACCCCTTGGCTGCCTCCACACCTGCCCTCCCCACTGTGACTCATTTCTGTCTGCCTGAGGCCTGGTCACCAGCCCGTTTTAAGCAGATGTCACTTGCCTAGAACATTGTCTTGCCCTCCTGAGGAACCCAGAGAAACAAGCCCTTAGGAGCCCCACCCATCCAACCACCTTCTCTACCATTTTGCCCCTTGGGACCACCTTCTAGTTGGGTCACTAACAGGTGCTTCCCTCCCGGACAGCTCATGCGGGAGTGGTGGGGATCAGCAGGTCCTGAGCCCAGACCTGCAGACTACTCATGATTTCACAGACGTTTATGGAGCACATACTGTGTGCCAGGCACTGGGACACAGCAGTGAATAAAGCAAAGCTCCTGCCTGCGGAGCTCACATTCTAGTGGAGGAGGACAGGCAACACATTGCACAGAAATGTCAGTGGCACCGTATGTGACAGTGATGAGTGGTGGAGAAAAGCAGAGCCTAGTAGGGGGTTGGCGAGGGCCTCGCTGCGAGGGCAGTGTCTAAGGAAAGCCCAGAAGGAGGTGAGAGGACAGCCACCCAGGTCTTCGGGGAAAGAGTGTCCCAGACAGAAGGAAGAGCAAATGCAGAGACTGGCAGGCGGGAAGCGCCCCCAGATGTCTGCAGACAGTGAGGAAAGCAGTGTGTTTTGGGGTGGAGTTGGAGGAGGGCAGGCAATAGGGGATGATGTAAGAGATTAATATGGGACCTTAGAGGCCACTGCAGGACTTGGCTTTCACCCTGAGTGAGATAGAAGCCACTGCGGGAACTGGCTCTGGCTAATGTGTTAACAGGATCCTTCTGGCTGCAGACCCAACAGACCGAAGGGGGGTGAGAGCAGAAGGAGATGACCTGGGAGACTTGTGATAATCCAGTAGGAGCCGGTGGTGCTTGGAGAGGTGGTGAGGAGGGGTCAGACTCGGAAGGTAGTAACAGCAGGACTTAACCACAGGGTGGATATGGAGTATAAGAGAGGACTCAGGGATGACTGTAGGTTTTGATCTGAGCAGCTGGAAGAATGATGTTGTAACCTTATTGAGGTGGGGAGGCTGTGGCAGGAGCAGGTGTCGGGAAGCTCAGAGGCTCAGTTTTGTACTTGTTGAGTTTGACACCAAAGTAGGCCTCCAAGGAAGATGTTGCACGAACACTAGCCTGGGGTTCAGGAAAGGTCTGGACAGAGGGCATAAGTCTGGAGTCATTGCATATAGATGGAACGTCAGCACTTTCCCAGGGTCTCAGTGACGGCTGACTCTCTTCTCCTCCAACAAGTGCAGCCTCAGACACTGGGCAGGGACCTAGTGAAAGATTGTTGACCAGACAGATAGATCAATGCCCTTTTACATCAAAACCATCTTGTGGGTTCCACAAACGCAACCAACATTGACGGGTGAGGTGGCTCACCCCTGTAATCCCAGCACTTTGGGAAGCTGAGGCAGGTGGATCACCTGAGGTCAGGAGTTTGAGACCAGCCTGGCCAACATGGCAAGATCCTGTCTCCATTAA